GAAGAGGAAATACATATTAAGGATTCCATTCTGGAAGATATACCTGAACTGGTGGATAGCAATGATAATTTGATGTTATTGCAACTCCCCACCTGTGAAGAAATCAAAGAAGCAGTTTGGGAATTAGACAAGAATAGTGCTTCAAGGCCAGATGGGTACAATGGGGTCTTTTTTAGACATTGTTGGGCAATTGTGAGTGCTGATGTGATCATGGCGGTGCAGGATTTCTTTCAAGGGAATGTTATTCCTAAGGCTATGGCAAGTTCTCTTATTGTCCTTATTCCTAAAAAAGACAAAACATCAACATTCTCAGATTTCAGACCTATTAGCTTATCAAATTTTGTCAGTAAGGTGTGTACAAAAGTCCTGACTAATAGATTGCTTACTATTCTTCCCAAATTAATATCCATTGAGCAGGCAGGTTTTATGGGGGGAGGGATATTTCAGATCATATTATGGTGGCATAGGAACTGATTAACTCTATTGACAGGAAGGTTAGGGGAACAAATATCGTGGTTAAATTAGATATGGCAAAAGCTTTTGATAGGCTTTCATGGTCCTGTTTGAAAGCAGTGCTCCTAAAGTTTTGGTTCTCAAAGAGTTTTGTTACATTGGTGCTTAATCATTTAAAGGCTACTCACTTCTCTGTGCTTATTAATGGTTCACCAAAAGGTTTCTTTCAGCCAAAGAGTGGTGTTAAACAGGGAGACCCTCTTTCTCCATATCTTTTTATTCTGGCAACTAAAGTGTTATCCAGAGGTCTTAAGAGATTGATTTCGTCAAATAAAATCAAACCTTATTGGATTGGACCAGTTGGACATTCTGTCTCTCATCTGGGTTATGCTGATGACATTTTAGTTTTTCTTAATGGGGAAGCTAGGTCTATTCAGGCTTTTAAAAGATTTTTGAGTATTTATCAAAAAGCTTCAGGTCAAGCAATTAACTTTGATAAAAGTAATTTTGTTTGTGGCAAAACTTCCCTGGCTAGAATAAGGAATATGGAAAGGCTACTAGGCATGACAATTGACAAAGACCAATCTGCCTATGAAGTATCTCGGATCATCCCTGCATAAATGAATAAATAGGAAAAATTACTGTGGGGGAATTTTGCAGATATTTGACAAGAAACTTACTACCTGGAAGCAAAAACATCTTAATTTTGGAGGCAGATTAATTCTGATTAAGCATGTTCTCAACACTATTCCACTGCACACCCTTGCTGTTGATACATTTCCAAAGGCTGTTATAAGAAGTTTGGAGAGAAGAATGTCTCATTTTCTTTGGGGATCTAATGCCAATAAGAGTAAATTTCATTGGAAGAGTTGGAAAAATCTATGCCTGCCTTATGAAGAGGGGGGTTTGGGTTTAAGATCCCTCTCCGAGGTTGAAAAGGCATATTCTCTTAAAATTTGGTGGAAATGGAGGTGTAACAGATCCATATTGGCAAATTTTTGTCATACTAGATACCTCCGAGGAAATAGTATGGTGTATAAATCTACAGACTCTGTAATATGGAAAAGAATTTGCATGACTCACAATTTGGGGCAGTCTCTTTGCAAGCAGGATCAGGAGGGAGAATGGATATGGATTCCTGATAGTAGTGGCTCTTTTACTCTATCATCTGCCTTTCATCAAGTTAGAAGAACCCATAATACTGTCTTCTCCTCTATTCACACCTGGAACAAACATCAGCAAACACAAGTTCAGATATTTCAGTGGAAGGCTATCAATAGAATTATTCCCTTTCTTGACAATTTGAGAAGGTTTAATCTCATTGTATACCCTTCTATGTGTCCATTTTGCAGACAAGATTCTGAAAACATGGATCATATTCTTCTTAATTGCCAGTTCAGTTGGAATATATGGAAATATTTCTTAGGAATTTTTCAAATACCAATTATGAACAGGCATAGCACTTTAAGGCAAATGTTTATTGCCTGGTGGCTAGAAGCTGGTTCCAAGACTATTATGGATATTTTCAAGCACAATATGGCAGGAATCATATCATGGCATATCTGAAAATCTTATTGTCATTTGAAATGGGGGGAGGCGAAAGAGGTTGGGCATTACCAGGAGGTTGTCCATAAAATCAAAGCATACACTCAAATTTGGTCTGATGCAAAACTGACGAAACTCAAATTAGGAAAGCCTAGTTCAATGTTGTATGAAGAACGCCTACTGGCCTCCTCTTTTAAATCTAAGAAGATAAAGATTCAAGCGGTGAGATGGGAATTACCAGTTCTGGACTTCAAATTGAATGTTGACGCCTCATACAGTAGCACTCAGGCAGCAGGGGGAGCAGTCCTTAGGCCGCGATTGGGAGATTTCGTTGCCGGTGTTCACTTCCCTTTGTCTGCGGTTTCTGTGGTGGATGCCGAACTTCAGGCGATTTATTACTCTGTCTCTTGGGCGTTACAACATGGTTATCACAGCTTCGAGGTTGAATCTGACTCGAGCTCGGTGGTGGATGCAATTTTGGGACGCGGTATTGAAGGACGGGGGAGGAGATTGGTAGAAGAGCTTAGGGGGTGTTTGGATCTGATTCTTAAAACTGCTTCTGCTGCTTCAGGGAGCAGAAGCAGAAGTTGGAGTGTTTGGGTAAAAATGCAGAAGTGATTCTGGTGTCTAATTTACTCCTAGAATCAGTTTTTTTAGAAGCTGGGGAGTCCAGCTTCTGAAAACTGATTCTGATTCTGCTTCTACTTAAAAAAAGAAGCAGAATCAGAATCAGTTCCAAACACCCCCTTAGAAGATGGATGGATGAAAACCGGTTGGTGTTCAGACATATTTTCAGTGAAATAATTTGGCCAGCTCATCATTTATCTAAACTGCATTTGGATAATATGTGCACTTATTTTAACTATAAGCAGCTTCCAGGTTATATTCGATGCTCCCTCTTGACTGATAAATTGGGATTGAGCTATTTCCGAGTCTCATAAGTGATTTATTCTCATTTTGTATTTAATTTTGGGCCAGGTGTAGCCCCTCGAAAACTTTGTAATTTTTTTCTAATAATTTTATTTCTTGTAAAAAAAACATTATTTTTTGGCTTGAAAATATGATGGAATAAAGCAAAATGACTCATTAAACTGTCTGTGCTTCTTTGTTACGAAGCAGCAGTCAGTCCATGCAATTTTGGACGCGATTTTCACTATGGGTCATCCAGAAACAGTCTTTCTGTGTTTTAGTACATGGGTAAGACTGCGCACATCCGACCCCCTTACCCCACCGTAGGTGGGAACCTTTGCGGCACTAGGATAAATGAAAACGAAAATGATGACTTTTTACCTTTACAATCAAACACTCAAATTTCCATTGAGGGAATTTGACTTTACACCTAACTTTTTAGGTGATATTGAACTTTGCACTGGAAAAACTTTGACTTTTTGCTCCATCTAATAACATTTTGTGAAGAAAAGTTTTTGAATGAGATGGTTTTTAAGGGGGCGTGTTCCATTAGAATTTCATAAGATTTTAAACGATTAAGAGCCCGTTTGGTAGCACGAAAATTGGCTAATTTGGCTGATTCTGCTGAAATTTATAAAGTTGTGGATGAAGTGGCTGCATTGGCTGATTCTGCTGTTTTAAGGGGAAAACAATTTAAAATATATTTTATTAAAGAAAAATTGACAACAATAATCCCACCTTTGACTAGCCTGCTCATAATAATCTCACCTTTGCTAATTATAATCCCGCCTTTGCAGCTCTTCTCTCATTGAGCCCTGATAGGTTAATGACCTACTATATTAGGCTTTTATGTCTTCTTGAAAATCTTACATAAATAAATTAACAAGAAGTTGAAAAAAGGAAAACAAAAAAACCTAATATAGTAGGTCGAATTAATTCCACTTTTGGTCTTACGAGTTTTATGTCAATTCCATATTTAGTCTATGTCTTTCACTTTGTCCACTTTTGATACTTGACTAATGTTTTTGACCATTTGTGGTCCTCCGACGATTTTAACCACCGGAAACATGGCCGGAAGGGTTACATATGGACGAAAACACAATAGTCATGTATCAAAAGTGGTCAAAGTGAAAAACATGGACTAAATGTGGAATTGACATAAAACTCGTAGTCCAAAAGTGGAATTTATTCATAGTAGGTCATTAACCTATCATGGTCGAATGAGAGAAGATGAGCTGCAAAGGTGAGATTATTTGGGATTATGCAAAGGTGAGATTGTTATAAGCAAACCAGTCAAATGTGGGATTATTGTTGTCAATTTTTCCATATTAATAAAATAAAGAAAAAATTATATGTTAAATAGTTAAAACGATCATATATAGTAACTTCAACCAATACGGCAAGAAAAGTAATTTTAACCTTACTTTTCATGCTTATTACACAATACAGCGCACGAAATCAAAAATTACGTGTTTGGTTAAAAAGTTGGCTGATAAGCCTAATAAGCCGAAAACAGTATTGTCAAACGGATCTTAGATTTTAATGGATTTTTATGGAATTGTATAGAGTTGGTCTCCCTAGCGAAATGAAATGCAAATTCAATTTTGTTTCCAGAAGGGAGTGCAAATCGAATCTATTTCTGTTTCTATTTCTGTTTGGAGGGAGTAATTGCAGACCGACATAGTATCCGGATTGTTGGGATCACGAAGAATTTCCCGCAAATAGAGGCCGTTTGAAACCATTTTTTTCGGCTTATCAGCCATTTTTTTCACCAAACACGTAACTTCTGCTTTCGCGCGCGGAATTATATAATAAGCCGAAAAAGTAAGGTTGGAGTTACTTTTCTGACTGTATTGGTTGAAGTTACTGTAGATGACCATTTTAACTATTTTTATATATAATTTTTTCTTTACTTTATTAATAAAATATATTTTAATTTTTTTTTTTCTGAAATTAGCAGAATCAGCCAATGCAACCACTTCAGCTAGAACTTCATAAATTTTAGCAGAAACATCCATATCAGCGGATTTTGGTGCTACCAATCTCATTTTGGCCCTACCAATAGGGCTGATAGTTTCAAAGAGTGGTCGTGATAGAACCCACTCCTAAGTCCTAACTGAACTCGCAAAATGAAAAACATGCCGGCAAGCAGAAGCACATTATCAAACACCTGGCGGTCTCAGCACCCTCTCTTATTTAACAATCTCTTCCGCCGTCTAAAATGCAAGCTATATTTCTCCACGTCATTCGCTCATTCAACTAAAGTTCGCAACACATGTTTTCTTTGATTATCCCTCAGTTGAGCTGTATGACTTGCAGCACTGAATATGCTTTTGGCTCTCTGCACTGCAGGCACCAGCCCGCATAGTCGGGGATTGCGCCGATTTTTTGCCGTGGCTGGAGCTCAAAGCCGGAACAGAGGTATCTTCCGTCCTCTCCATCGGAGAATCCGCGTATGGAAGGTCCGAACTCGCATACTATTTTGTCCTTTTGGCCTCATCCACCAGATAAGACGTGGCATAACTTTTTTTTTTATTTAATGTATATAGTAATACATACAAAAAAATGCATACATTATATTTTGTTTTTTAAATCTTAATTTGGAGTAGTCGGTTTCCGTAGCAAACTAATAGTAGTCACAGAGTAAGAGTGTTTGTATCCGATTCTTAAAACTGTTTCTTCTCTTTCAGGAAGCAGAAGCAGTATTCGGGTGAAAGTGAAGAAATAATTCTGATGCTCTAATTTACTTCTAGAATCAGTTTTTTTAGAAGTTGGGGTGATCAGCTTCTGAAAACTGATTCTGATTCTGCTTTGCCTTGAAAAAGAAACAGAAGTAGAATTAGTTCCAAACACCCCTAACCTTTATCACTCTAGAATGTACACTAATGGGCTGAAGTTACTAGACCATTTTAGCTATTTTTTCATTATTAAGCAGAATCAGACACTTCAATCAAACTTCATAAATTTCAGCAGGATTAGCGGATCAACCAACTTTAGTGTTACCAAACGGGCTCATAATTTTGATATAATAATAGCTTAAATAGAATAAAACCATAAACTGATCAATAATCAAGTATTTAGAACTGTCCGTTTGAAAATATGGAAAATGTTTCCAGTAATATGCCTTTTCGAAAATTACTCATTTTCTGATAATAATTTTCATTTTGGTTGAAATATAGAAAAAATCTTTCATTTTTTGGGGTAAATGTACCAAATTTGTTGCAAAGTTATTTCACATAAAGAATAGATGATTTAATCATACTGATAATCATGATGATAATAAATACATTTTATGTATAATAAATATCATTTTAATAGTAGTTACTATACACATTTGTTATAAATGATAAAAGCCTTATGAATAGACAACTTAGGGGTGTTTGGATCCACTTCTTAAAACTACTTCTGCTCCTTCAGGGAGTAGAAGTAGATATTGGAGTGCTTGGGTTAAACTGAGAAGTACTTCTGGGTGCTCCAAATTGCTCCTAGAAGCATTTTTTTAGAAGTTGGGGAGACCAACTTCTTAAAAATTGATTCTAATTCCGCTTTTGCTTTTAAAAAAGAAGTAGAAGCAGAATCAATTCCAAACATTCCGATAAATGTTCTGAATGTAAAACATTCCCTACAATTAGTAAGTACTAATGTTGGTGGTAGTGGATCCAGTAATCATACTGAGGTGGGATGAAGGCCGCTAAAGTAACAGTGGTTTGAATCAACACATCTAATACATAATTACATATGCTAACTCATACAAGCAAGTCACGTACACAAATGAATCAGTATAACCAACTCAAGGTACATTAACTACATGTCATCTAACAGTTATATAACTTTTAACAACATCTTACGGACAGGATGCCCAACATGACAATGAAACTGTCTAGGGACTGCTGATATAAAGCAGTTAAGCAACACTGATAAAAAAGAATAACTAAACCCAACCACACTTAGTTTCTTCATCTGCTAATGATCACCAGGCCACGGCACTTGATCAATTTTTTTAGTATAGTTGTAGCATTACCCATTTATTGGGTGTTACATGTTACCGAAACACACATAGTTCTGTGACTGATATCCCTGAGTTATTCTGATTCTGTGAATTCTCATGTGGATACTTTTACATAACATGGTACATTTTTTATGTCTAAATATGATATTAGATAAATAGGTAATTGGAGTATCTGGTATTCATGATCCAAGTATGCAGGTGTTTGGTTGCTTGTAAGCCTATAAAAGCTGGGGATTGTATGCTAAAGGTCCCATATAGTCAGGTGTGCTAGTTGATATTCAAATTATTTCTGTATACCTGTGTTTTATGTCAATTCTTGACTGATGAGAACTATAATTACAGCAAATGTCCTCAAATAAGCTTCCTTCTGGAATCAATTCCTTGTTAGGGGACCGGGTCAGCAATGTGGCAAAAGTTGCTTTACTTGTTTTATATGAGCAGAAGTTGGGTGAGGTAAAAAATGTCACATGCTTTAGCTTCGTTTTGTGCCTTCTACTTGCACTTTGGTACATAAGTGTGACTGTGGGTAACACCAAGTGGTCTCTTTGTTCCCCAATTGCTTGCAGAAATCTGATTGGGCTCCTTACATTAGGCGTCTTCCACAACCTGCACAGATGCATAACACGGTAAATTATATACACATTCACACGACACACGTGATGTATACTCCCTCTCCTTTTCTAATCTCCGTGCTTCTCATTTTAAAGGAACAAATTTTGTGCTTGATATTATTTCCTTCTAAAATAAATCTTTACCACACAGTTTTCACTTTCTTAAAAAGCAGACAAAGTCAAAATAAGAGATAAAATAGGCATGTGAGGAGTAATAAAAATCAACTGATCTTGCGATTTTCAGCTTTGTTACAGCGGCGGAGAGGGGGAGGGCCTGCAGCACTCCCCGTAATTTGTTTTCGAGTTCTGCCCCTTTAACATAGCATTTTTGGCTCTGCCATTGCTCTGTTATCTGATTATGGTTCTTTTTGTTTGGGTATCAAGTTTACAAATTGCACTTTGAGCCTGCAGATACTCTGGAAGGATGATGAGTTAGATATGGTTTCTCGAAGTCCATTATATCAGGAAACTCTTTGGCAGAAGAATATTGTTGAAACTGATTTTTTTGTGATTACAGAGGTTAGTATGGCACTCTGCAGTCCACACTCCACACTTTGCTTAGTCCAATTCAACCATTTACTGCTAGCTGAATTTGTCAATATCACTGGTATTCCCTGAAAACTATTTTTTATTGTAGTGTTTCGATCCTTTTTTATGTCCTCACATGGTTTGGCTAACTGTACTCTTAATACTTAAAATTGTTAAGTAGCGACATTTTGTTTTTCAAGTCTTAATGTTGTTATTGTTTAACATGGGTTTCAATGGTCAAGCGCTTGAATATATTCAAATGAATCATAATCATGCAGTCTCTTTTCTTCATGAATCATAATCATGAAGAAATTCTTAGTTGAATATTCAGCTGCAATTTTTCGTATGACTGATGTTTATGGTGTTCGTATTACACAATTTCAGGCTCTATGCCACTTCTCTCAACTTCATATGGCAATCACATTAGAGGACTTCAAGTACGCATATTCTTTAGGTCAATTTCAGTTGTCAAACACCTTTATTGTGATGCTAGTTTAAATTTTACGAGCTCGTATGAACAGTTTCAGCTTTTATACTGATCAGATATAAATTTTATGCATCTTTTTTGACTAGTTTTTTTTCAAATAATTTCAGTTACTTCTAGAGCATGGGAAAGCCTCAATGATGTATTTATGGTACTTAATAATAAGATATGTGATCAATTGTGATTGTTGGATAAATGTTTGTCATGACTAAATAAACAACCAACACTCTTCTATCAATATTCATTCTTTTATTAGCTTTATGCCTTTGATCAACTATTTTTGCTTCAAGAGGTTGAGTTAGAAGTATGACATCCATTTGGAAAAGAGTTAATTGCACTTTTGGTTCCTACAAGTTTTATGCTAATTTCACATTTGGTCCTTGCCTTTCACTTTATCCACTCTTGGTACTTGACTAATATTTTTGACCATTGTGGTCCCTCCGCCCAACTTTCCGATGCCTCTGTGGCGACTTTAACCACCAGAAATATTGATAGAAGGACCATATATGGGCAAGAAGCAATAGTTGTGTACCAAAAATTAATGGTCAAAGTAAAAAAACATGGACCAATTATGAAATTGGTGCAATACTCGTAAGACCAAAAGTGAAATTTATTCATTAGGAAAAAGTCCTTGCTAACTATTCCTTAGATTCCCTTTGCAGATTTCTTAAATCACGATGGTCATTCAGATTCATGCGTTTTGAATGATGAAGAGGAACAACTCTCAGAGGTTCATATTATCTATTCCTGATGCTTCTTGACTCTGAGCATATCCAAAATAAAAATATTAAATAAAAACTTAATATGTGTTGACTGTGTTGGATATTTAATTATCACACAGATTGTTGAAGAAAACTTGTTTCATAATGCTGTTTTCTGTATTGCGAATATGATAGTCATATAGAATTATTTGAAAAAATGCTTCTACATGGTTCTAAGTGTCATTTTTAGACAAGATTTTATTTGGTTGGTTGAAGTATTATGCATGGGTATTTTTTAGCGGCTGCTAAGCCTCCCTAAAGAACCCAGACACTTCTAGAAAGCGTTAGGCGTAGACTGGGGACTAGCATCTAATTGGGCTTGAGCTAGGATTAGTTGGGGCCTTGGCAGATTAGATGGGGCTAAAATTAGAAAAAGACGGATGGTCAAGAGAGCCTAGCACCTAGGCAGGCCTAGGCAGAGCGAGTTGTGGCTATTGTAACAGTGTCCCTAGATCAATCAAGGTTCTCAAAGTACCATTTTCGTAGCTCTATAACAAACATTTCGGCCTTTTTCTGTCACCTAGCTGGTGCCTGTATACATACACACCTTTTGATGTGATCTATTGTGGGCTCACATTATTAGTACCATAAATTATCTTCTCTCTTTCACAAAATGGCATAAAAGTATGTATATTGAATTATTGATAAAACACTGACAGTAACTTGTGTTGTTTGTCAGTACCATTAGTTCAATTCTTCTTATGACTGATTGTTAGGAGTTGAAGCCACAAAGGGTCTCCCCCACCTCCCACGATGGCACATTCATAGCTTTTCCTTCGATGACCTCAGATTCTACCGATTAATTGACAACCCTCATTGGAAAAAAATCATGGCGTTCCTACATCATTATTCATGATCATCTCCGTTTTTCGCGCACCAAATATCTCCAACAGTCCTATTATTACTTGATGCAATTTAATTGGATTTCAATATTAAGATTGGGGATTTGACTTGTGATTTACTAGACATATTGTTGATTATCATTTATCTAATGTGATGAAAAAAGAAGGAAAGAGTGCTCGGATGATGCACGATTGTGTAGTTTATTGTTATAGTCTCTTTCAAATGATGGATCAATTAAAGTTCAAATTAAAAGTCATGATTCGTAAACTTAAAACCAATGGTTTAAAAAGCATAGGGATTAATCGTGGTTAGGCGGTAATGTCGGATCTATGTGGAAATAAACCACCCTAAACAAGAGAAAATATAGTCAAGCAGGACAGATAATTCCTTTGCAAGGAATAATGGGGGAAGGGGGCTGCTGGGAAATTTTACCACAATGGTTTAAGTTAAAGTCAAGTCATTTGTTCTTTTGTCAAAAAAAAGTCAAGTCATTTGTATAGTCTGTTAAAAATGTTCGTAACAAGTTTTAAGCACATGATTGTCCAGCTTAAAGGAGAGTATTGAAGTATATAAAACACGTTGATTCTAAGGATCTTCAAGCTACCTAAAGTTGCTCTAGATCAATCACATTGCTGTCAAAGCAGCATTTTAGCAGACCTATACATACATTTTGCCTTGTGGTTATCTCTTAAGTGGTGCCTATATATATTGCACCCTATGCTGTCACTTAGAGTGTTGTATCATTACAATTAGCTTTCTTCATTCTTTCTCTACATGGTTTAATCCATGTCAATGAAATATTACTTGCATACCTTATTTTTTTGTGAACCTTATCACTTTAACCTTTATGTTCTGAGGTGCAGGTGATTGCTGGTCGTGATTATGCTCCTGGTGATCAGGTTTTTTGTAACTAGTGTAGCCAACTAGTCATCCTTTTCCTTCTACAAATATTGAAAACTCTTCTGCTTTGATGTTGCAATGTTCTCTTTGTTCTTCAAAATCAAAATCAACTGTCAAAATCAAAATTAACTATTGAACTTCAAAATCAAAATCAAACTGGTGAATTATGTTTGATGCATATATTTTGCTTTTTGGTTAAATCCCAATGGTGCTTAAATCTCAACTATTGAACACTTAGTTATCAAATAGAAATTGATCTGCCTCTATTTGTAGCTTTTAATTTTATCATTGCTGTTCATCGCCATCTAACATGTATGATGTTAATGGATTCTGAGAATCATCCACTCTTTTATACAGGTCCTAATAAGTTATGGAAAGTTCTCAAATGCGACTCTACTTTTAGATTTTGGATTCACAGTCCCTTTTAATACATATGACCAGGTTATAGTTCAGTCCTGAATCCTGATTCTGGAATCTATTTTTTTACAGTACGAACGTTTGAATGAAGTCATTGAACTGTGCGTCTGTGCATACATCATTGTGTTTTACATATTAGTGTAACATCTATGAATTATCAATACTAGACCCTAGCATTCTTAAGAGCATATCCACTCAAGCTCTTCAAATAAACTGTTTTCTCTTTGTTGTAATTGCCACAAGATAAATCTTAAATAATCTCAAAGTTCAAAACTCTTCCTAAAAAATAATACTCAGTCTAAAATAACCCGGAATTGTAATCTTGGTACCATATTTTTTTCCCAAATAATCCAGCTAAATGATCTATTGCCCTCAATCACAATCCTTAAAATAATATGCCACATCCTTAAATTAATCCCTAAATAAACCTATGGATGAGGATGCCCTTACTATCAGTAGGTTATACGCAATAAAACATACTCATCTTCATTTATTCAAATGCTATTTTCGCTATTACACTAAAAAATTTGACACACTGTCAAGGATACAAGGGGTCCAATTTACAACTTTTGGCCTTAGATACGAGTCAGATTCATGACTTCATATATGATTTTTTTAATAATGGATTTTGCTGTCAAGTTTATTTAAGCAATTATACACCTGTTTCCTGCTATGAAAATTTATGACTTTTTCCATTGTTTCTACCGACATATAATATTTTGTCACTTAAGTTTACCTTTCCTCTTTCATGTTAGCTGACCCCAAACTCTTTTGGGACTAAGGCTTGGATGTTGTTGTTTGGTCGAAAAGAGGGGAGAGAATGGGAGGAGATATATGGAGAGGGGGAGAGAGGACCATGGACTGATTGATGGAAGAAATCAGAAAAAATGTATGTTTGGTTCAATGGAGGAGGGAGGAATGAATACTTTATAAAGGTGTTATGTTTAGTATATATGTTTGTAATTAAAAATATAGTAAGCTTCTTTCTTTTAAAAATATAGTAACCTATATTTATAACAAAATTGATATAGAACAATTTGATTAAACAAACTCAAAAAGAAATTAGGAAAGAAATCACCCCCCTCAAAATGCCTTCAATTAGAAGGGTGAATATGAGGAGTCTGGAGGAGCCTATTACTCATCCACTTTCCTCCCCACCATAGTCTTCCAATGAACAAGGGCTTATCCAAAGCCTAATTCTACATATCTATATTTTATGCTTTCTTTAACATGCTTATTCGTTATCGTACTTTAACATGAATGACATCATTTACTATCAGGTGGAAGTCAAACTAAATTTGCCTCAGGAAGACCATCTTTCTTCAATGAAGTTGAAACTTCTAAGCAGATACTGCACCCGAGCAACAAAGGATGCCAATGGATTCAGTTCTCATGGAAATTCCTTCATACTCAAGTTCGTACTTTCGTACATACCTTTTTTATGCCAGCATGCACCTCTCTTCTGATTGTCTCACCACAAGATGCATTCTAACACCTTACTAATAACTGCTCTGCAACACATCACAACAGAACATTCTAGAAGAGGATTATTGTGGGTCAAGAAGGGACATCAAGTGTCTGTTTGTGGATTAAGGTTTTTAGAGGTGTTTGGTTGGCAAGTCTTTGGAAAGCTTAGCCTTAAATCTTGATAAACAGAAACTTTGTAAATGAGCAAAATATGATTAAAGATGATTAAATGCTATGGTCACATATTATGTTATGTTCCTACTCTATAAAATCTCAAATATATGTCTAAATATAGTCTATGCCATTCAAGATAAATAGGTTGAGAAATAACCAGAATTTTCTAATTTATCACTATTCATTCTTATGGGAATAAGGCTTGGATGATGTTGTTGTTGTTGTTGTTGTTGTTGTTGTTGTTCTATCACTATGCACAACATAGTGCAGAATCAAACTAGAATGTACAAAATCTTACTCCGTTACTCCCAAATCATTCTTTCTGGTCTGACATGGTATGCTTATCCAGCTAAAATGGATTTGTGTGGTTGAAATTTAATATATACAAAGGAAAGATGAATATTATATTGGGATGGATAAAAAAGGAAAACAATTTGGGATGGAGGGGTACTTGTTTAGTAGGAATTCCATGAACCAGAAGCGTAAATCCACGTTTTCATCTTTTCTGATACGTGGTCATTTTGTTTTATGCTCCCTCTAGCCCAAATTTATTGTCTTTTATCCATTATTGTCCAAATAAATTGTACGTCTCTGAATAATTCTCCGTACAAACTTTCTTCTCATTCTGGTTCACTCCAAAACTATCCCCCATTTCCTTTTAAGTAAAGCATTTATGTGGTTGTATTTCTCTCTAAATAATTTCAACTACATAGCTTTTACTACTCTCCATTTGCTATATTAACTTTTCGCACTTTAAATGTTTTTGTACCTTGAAAACAAATAAAATGCAATTATGAATAGAACTTTTATAGGGACAGAAAAATCAGCCTTTAAGGTTTCGTAATATGTATGCATTTTTATAAAGCTTCATTTAACTTGGGATGGATGGAGTGTCATTGAACTTTTAGAATTTTACTAGAATGGTTCTGAATGTTCTTTATCATATTTCTCAAAGCAATTCTGGCTTCAAGATGTTTGTGCCCAATATGTTTGCCTTTTGATGTGAACTGCTCTTGAGCATTGACTAGTGCAGAGTTATCAAATCGATGAAGAAAATGAGTATTTGCATCTGGCTGGTTTTGTGAAATGGATTAGTCATCAAGGAATCAAGGATTTGCGTATTTTTTTATTTGGTTAGAGAATCCATAACATAGTTTGGCAATAATCACCTCCCACTATTTATAGATATGTCTCTATGTACTCAATAACCTTCTTCTCTTCAAGGTTTCATCTCAAATGTCACTTTCAGTTCCAAAATAAAAACCTTGAACTTTTTATTTAGCATATTGACCTCTTTTCTCACTGGCATGCTCTTTCTCGTAACTTATTTTATGTATTTTCCTCTCCAGGGAAGTAAAGTCTGCTCAAGGTAAAGGGAAGGGTATTCCACAATCCTTCCGAGCATATGCTCGTGTTATGTGTTCAAAATCTCCTCAAGGTCTTAACATTTTTTTGTTTAGTTACTTATACTATGCCGTTTGATGAAAGAGTGCATCCTGCTGAAACTTTTAAATAGTATTTGTTCATGGTCATTTTTGTCATATTCACAGAACTAAATGCATTGGAAATGGAAGCTGCGGAAAATGATGGTCGCCTGGCTAGGCGTCCACTTAGGGATATGTGTAGAGAAGTTGAAGCTCATAGATTCCTGCTTACGATAATAATTGATTTCATCAAAATGTATGATACATCTATTAAGGTATGTAATGACACATAGTTTATGATATGAAATTCTAGAAATGTACAAAGTTACGTAGTTGTTAACCTTTGGGGGAGTTTATACCTTTAGGATTAGTCCAATTTGGTTAGTGTTCTCCTTAGAGCTGTCTGTCAAATGGGCCGTCTGGTCCAGCCCAACCTGGCTCGTGGCTGGGCTATGTGTCATGGGTTGGGATGAGCAAACCCTCATAATGCTGGACTTAAACTTATGAATCTGTAAGTTAGTTCCTCCTACGAAGTGCTAACAGAAGGAAAATAGAGAAGCCAAAAACTAAGCACGCACATTGTTTGAGTTTAATAAACAAGAGTACAAGACTATATAACTTAATAATCAATACATATGCTTTAGCCCATGGAGTAATTTGCTACCCTCATGAGCTAATCCACGCAACTCGCAAAACCCTACGGGCACTCGCAAAGATCTCAAAACAATCAGGCCTATAGAACTTCCTTTACGGTTTTGACAACTCCTATATTTTTACTCATCCAGTCCCGTATTAATTGTTGCTGTAGCCAAGATTGTTTGTTCCAAATTGATTGTCAGGTTAGGAATCCAGTGCTTGTTTTAATACATCATGCGGATTATTATTCTTCCAATTTTTCTCTTATTAACTCATCCTGCATTAAATGCTACCTCTTCCTGGATTCAATGTTTTTAGACATTAAAAAGAAAGAAAATGCATTTAATCTTATACCTTAAACAAGGGTTAAATATTAAAATGTGCTTTTATTTTCGGATGGAGGGCATATTATTGAAAGGATGGATTCATCTTAGGCCAAGAGTCAATTTTATTGGGCTCTGCCCAGCGTGTATTACCTTTATTAGTGTAAAAGTCTACAAGGTCAAAAGTCAAAGCTGCCATCCTTTTTTCTTTTTTCTAGTATCAGGAATTCAGGAGAGGTGTCTGCCTAACATTTTGCCATATTTGATTGCAGTCATTGAAGCGGCTTACTTCTGGGGACATCGTAAACAAAAGGCATCTGATGGCTTATGACCTCCTCAGTGGTGAGCTTCGTATCCTAAAATCAACAGCTGAATGGCTGCAAAACTATTGTTTGAAGCTACTGAGCCTTTAAGAACCACTAACCTTATTCTCCATGAGGAAACCTGATCAGTGATTCTCACACACTACTTTCATTTTGAATTCTGGAGAATTCAATTCACTTTTTTAGTTTGCTTGGAAAAAATGTCTTGTAAATATATCCTTTCGTGATTTGGAAGATCTTTATTCCTCTTTTGTTGTTGAAAAAGAGTTAATTTGTTAGTTGTAAATCGATGCAAGTTACAAAATAAACTCTTAATTAGGGATGGACTCGGTTCGAGCCGCCCGGCCCGGAACTGGCCCGGTACTGTTTAGAACCGGCCCGGGAAACCGGTTCCGGGCTTAGGCCCGTCCGGGGGGGGGGGGGGGGGAAGCGGTTCCGGGCCTTGTCAAAGGCGAACCGGCCCGGTTCGGGCCTTTTTTTTGGGTATGGGCTGGGTTTAGTTGGGCTGGGTGTTTCTGAGGGGTTTGGGGGTGGGGGGTTGGGAGTTCAAATAAATAAGAAAGCAAAAAAAAAAAAAATTGAAATGGAACCGGCCTGGGCTCGTCTCGGCCCGGAACTGATAGACTTTGGGCCGGTTCCGGGCCTTACTCATAACCCTCCAAGCCCAGTCGAGCCCAAGCCCGAACTGGAACCAGACGGGCCCGGTCCACCCCTACTCTTACTCGGTATAATATTGTGTAATAGTAATAGCAATACACCAAAGGATGCTACTCGGGGGCCGGGTCGGTCTCGGGTCCACCAATTCTGAACCGCCGGCCCGCCCGGGCCTAGGCCCGACCCGGACTCGGCCCGGCCTGAATCCACCCCTAACTCTAACCTTACTTTTTTTTTTATTATTGCACAATTCAGCGAAATAAAAATTATGTGTTTGATAAAAAAGTTGGGTGACAAACCTGATGAGCCGTAAAACAAGATTGCTAAACGAGCTTGAAGACAATAATAAAAAAAAATCACGTTGTAAAATGGGGTGAAATACCTACCCACTATTATAGGCATTTTATATTCTCTACAAATCCACACCTAGGGGTGTTGTCACGGACCGTTGGTCGTGACCGTGTTAGGCTCAATGAATGGGATGGACCGACTGGCTAGCTGTACGGGTGAGGCATGTGGGAGGCAATAGCGTCAAGGGGAGTTCTGCCTTAGACGCTAAGGTCTGGCCGAGTTGGGCAAGGGGCTTGACTATGAAGGAGACGAACGCGTGTCTGAAGGCACAACTGGTCGGGAGCTATTGCCGTTCCCCTGATGAGCCCAAGGCAGGGCGAAACCAGTTCGGTTCGTATGAGAGCGAGGCTGGTCCTCGGGGATGAGAGGGACCCCGGGACGCCGCACGGGCGCTGTGTGCTGCGCCAGACTCTATGCCCGTGACAAGTGGTATCAGAGCGGGTCATGCTTATATTGTCGCGTGTTATGGTGGGGTCCTCGTGAGGGATGAGGACTATGCGAGCATGGTGGCTCTAGGGCCGGTACGTGCTGATGACGGCTCCACTCCTGATGGTCCGCAGGGGCGGATGGGTTCCTGAGGGAATGGGAACTCGAGTGGCCACCAGCTCGGCCGGGCTGCTTGAGAGAGAGGCGGCCTGGTGATGAGGCGCGTTGACAATATTAAGCATGGCGATCCTCGGGCAGAGTCGTCTCCCCTAGCACGAGGACGTGCTAGATTTTGGGTGGGGGAGAATGTCACGGACCGTTGGTCGTGACCGTGTTAGGCTCAATGAATGGGATGGACCGACTGGCTAGCTGTACGGGTGAGGCATGTGGGAGGCAATAGCGTCAAGGGGAGTTCTGCCTTAGACGCTAAGGTCTGGCCGAGTTGGGCAAGGGGCTTGACTATGAAGGAGACGAACGCGTGTCTGAAGGCACAACTGGTCGGGAGCTATTGCCGTTCCCCTGATGAGCCCAAGGCAGGGCGAAACCAGTTCGGTTCGTATGAGAGCGAGGCTGGTCCTCGGGGATGAGAGGGACCCCGGGACGCCGCACGGGCGCTGTGTGCTGCGCCAGACTCTATGCCCGTGACAGTGTACACCGGTCCAAAACCGGACCGGACCAGAACCGGTTAAGACCGGAACCAGAATCATCATTCTCTATGGGCCGAAGACCGGACCTGAATCTAACCGGTCCAGAACGATCCGGACCTGAATTTTCCGGTCCCGTCCGGTTTTGACCCTAATTGGCCCGGTGTTAAAAATATATATTATCTTAGAGTGTTCTTAGCTGACCCCAATTTTTTTTAGGAAGGAGGCTTGGATGTTGATGTTGTTTTAAACTATAATTTTATGTTCAGATATGCTAAATAGACTAAATAATTGTTTAGCTCATTTATTATTTTTGGGATGTAGTCATCAAAACTATTCGATCGTAACAATTAGTTTCCCACAATAAATAAAACTACAATTTTTTTTGTATATTACAATGGAAAAATCTATTGTACGGTAATAAAAACTAAATTACATCCAAAAATATACTACGTATAAACTCCATGCACACCTGCAAATAAAGAAACAAATAAAAAGAATTCGGAAAAATCAAAAAATATAAACTACGATTTAATAGTGCACACATGCACATAAATAAACAAATAAAAAACAACTTAAGAAATAATTAGACATCAAATATACACTCTGTATATATTCGTTTACATGTATAATAAAAGACAAAAGTAAGCCATAAACATAATGACTAATGATATAGAACAAAGTATATATTTTACGAAAATTAAGTTACCGGTCCATTCCGGTCTAGACCTGTTTTTTCCGGGTTTGACCCGGACCGGACCGGAACCCGGAATCTTGAAAAACTAAGGACCGAAACCCGGACCGGTTAATACCGGACCGGTTCCGGTCCGTTCCGGTCTAAAATACGGTCCAACCCGGTTAATGCACAGCCCTATCCACACCACATTCAACTTGAATACAAAAATGAGTTGGTGAGGAATCATAACAAGAACATCGATTGCATATACTACCTCCATCCCAAAAAATTGTCATTTTCAAACCTTTGATCAACTATAAATTTTTATTGGAAATTATTTATAATATAAATATTATATGAAAAATGTTCTTTGTTCAAATTATACTTTCATAAAAGTATAAAATTTAACATTTCCATAATATTATCCTAATCAAAATCATGATTCAAGATTTATAAAATGACAAAGTTTTTTGGGACGAAGGTAATCTTCTGGTATGGACATCCTCATGGGAACTGCCAACCGGATTCTACCATTTTGAGGTGGACCGGATTCCACCATTTGAGGTATAATTTTTTGATTATTTTTTTTGAGCATGTTATCCATCAAATTTCAGATAAAAATTTAATCGAAAAGTTAGTTAAATAAAATTTTGAAGTTAACTGCGCTAAAATATACATTAAAACAAAGTTATTTTTAAAAAATTATTTAACTAACTTCTCGATTGATTTTTTAGCTGAAATTTGGTGTATATAATCTAAACTTTAAATAAATTTCATAAAAAAATTCAATGAAACCCACTTGAAAAGGCAGCAGCCAGGCGGAGGTTCTAGTCTAGAATTCCGATCCTGAACTCATTGAAGGAGTGTTTGCAACTGCTTCTGCTTAAAAAAAGCACTTTTGGAGATGTAAGAAAAAAGTGATTAGTAGTAAAAGTTTATAGTGATTGAGAAAAAAGTTATTTTAAAAAGTAAAAGTTGGTAGTGTATGGTAAAATAAGTGCTTTTTGTGTAACAGAAAAGGGAAAAACACTTTTCACACGCAAACTGAGAAAAAGTAAAAATTGGCAGTGTTTGATAAATAAGTGTTTTTTTAAGTCAAAAACTGATAAATGCTTTTTTTAAGCTGTTGCGAACACTCCCTGAGTATTACTTGAGTTACGTTGCTATTGGCCTATTAGTCATAATGTTTTTCAATATTTTTATTAATTACATGTCAATGTTAAAAATATGACTACTAGCAGGTCATATAATCTCACACAAACTATTTTATTTAAATGTAAAACAAATTAGTATGGAGTAATATTTTCTCTCCACATTTAACCATTTTGCGTGTTATTGTAAATGGACATCAGTTGCAACATTAGCATATTCTTTTATAAATTTTCATACATAGATACTAGTATTAAATTATACGGAGTACTCCGTAAATATTAAGATTTGGGAGCCAAGACCCTCTAGTTCCTCCCTATATCGGCCTCTAATGGATTGGTCATTTACTGAAGAGAATGAATTATGTGCGTCTAAAAAGGAGTTTCTCAACAATATGTTATTCGGACAGAAGCATCAACGCTCGCATATTATAAGAACCAGATCCCAATCACGCTTGGACTTCTGCAATCTAGATTGAGCTATTTGGATTTCTTGGGTTGTTTTATACCTAAGATTGGGCTACTTATAGTTGTATTACACTATTACCTGCTCCTTATTTGCTTTTCTTTTTTGTTGTTTTCATTTTCATTGTACTTTCTTTTGCTCCTTTTAATTAAGTTTCCTTTCCTTAAAAAATCTCCGTTTCCAATTAATAATTAATCAATACAAAATGCATGAAAATAATAATTATAACTTTTATCTTATAATTGAAAATAATTTTGCTGAGACATTATTAGTCATACGCTTATTTTACATTTTTAATATTACATATGCTATTCTTTCAAAAAAAATTATTACATATGCTATATTGATTTCAATTGAAATCAGGATGGATCTTGGAACGAGGATTGAGAAATCGGCTATTATGAAAAACATAAAAGTTATAATTTGGAATTCCAAAACATGTTTAATCTTATTTCGGGAACTCTCCCAAGATATTAATAAAGAAGTTAAATTTGATATATGGAGTATATCATATGGAAAATTCTATTGGAGAAAGATAAAAAATGACATTAACGTTTTTAAGGAAGTTCAGATTAGACACTAAGGTTTTAAGTAGACCAAATAAACACAAAATTGTAATTTTTGGTTCCAATTTGACCACCCTTTAACCTTGTGTTAAATGACCCTTCTACATCGTTAACCCCCCATCTGATTAAAGCTGCTTGGGTTCAGAGAGCAGACAACCATGGCATGGATTAAGGAGAGCAGGCAACATTGGAGGTCGATTGCCCTCGAAGATTACCTCGAAGGAGAGCATGCAACCATGACCTCGAAGATTACCTCCGCATCACTGTCTCACAGTCGCTTCGCCTCGCCCTTGAAGTCGTCGCTGCATCGAAGCCTACCCAATACCCATCTCAGGGCAAGATAACTTGCTCAACAAAACTAAGGGCCTGTTTA